GAATCAATGCCACGTAGAATTAAGGCAGTTCTGAAGGCGAAAGGGGGTCAAACACCGTATTAGTATGGTGTTCCTAATAATTCTTTAGGTGAGTGTATAAAAGTAACAGCATAATCTGCTAAACTGATTCTATAATTATATATAAAATAGAAATACAAGATTTAAGAAAACACGTTTTATGTTTGATAATTAAGGTAAAAGTTTCAATTTTTATTTAAGTTTATTCGTCTGCTATTTGACCAGTCAACTCACCAAACCTGGGGATCGGATACAATGTAAACTTAATTCTGTGATTCATATGCAGCTAAACACATTTTAATTTTTAGTTTAATATTCAGTCAAAATATATAAAGCAAAAAAAAAACAATAAAAACGAACAAAAATATTAAATTAAATGTACTTTCATAAAGAAACACCACATTTGTCAAAGTTTGTTTGAAAGGACCAAACAGGATCAGTGCTACTTAAAAAATAACAATGCAAAAGTCTAGTCATTTCCTGCTGTCTGCCTCACATCCTTTAACAGGAAAAGCAATTGATAACACAAAGGTCTCCAAAAAAAAAAAACTATGCCAACAATGCCATTATATATGAAGAGACAATAGTGGTTTTATTATATAGGAGGGGACACATATTTTTATTTCAAGATGTAGTCCATCTTTATGATACCTCAGCTTAGCCTAAAACTGAATCCATTCCTAGATGTGTTACTGTACTTATGCTACGTGTTGGAGAGATAAAACACACAGATCTGAAGCCAAGACCCAAATGACACCCGAAACAGTAGCAGGTTACAAATTGATATGAACAGGGGCACGCCTAGAAATTCTGCCCCCCGACAAAATGTCACTTAAGGCCCAATTTTATGTATGTATTTACCTATTCAAGGACCCCTTCAAGTGCTGGGGCCCCTGAATCTCCCGAGGAATCCATACCCTGGATATGAGTAATGAATGAAAGTGATCCTACTATATATAATAAAAGGTACATTAACAGATGTCATGAAGTAATAGTCTAGTTATGTATTATATACAGTACTTTTTACCCTGGTGCCCCCATGTAATATGAGTTTCCACCAAGTACTCCCTCAGTCCAGAGACATGCATTAAGGCTGCTTGGTGTCTCCAAACCAGTGTTCCTCAATCAGGTCCCCCAGACAGTCCACATTTTTGCTCCCTGCCAGCTCCTGGTATAGGGCAGTGTTTCTCAACCTGTGGGTCTTGACCCATATTTGGGTTGTGATAAGTTCTGAAAGGTCGCGAGCCTGAGTTGGAAAATTATGCTAGCCCATTTTAAGCCTACTTAAAAATGTTAGAATGTCTTATTTAACATCAGAAGCAAACACATTTTTTTCAATTGTCAAATTGTAGTATAGGCGTGATGCTAAATTTGAGAGAGCTGGCTAGTTTTACTACTTTACAGGGTTGTGACTGAGCTGCCAAGTTAAAACTTGGGTCACAGTGCTAAATATGTTGAGAATCACTGCAGTGGAAAACAAGGAGCAAAAATGTGGAGTTGGGAAGGAGCAAAAACGTGGACTGGCTGGGGTTCCTCAAGGATGGAGTTGAGAAACACTGCAGTCCACATGGTCCAGGAATGTGAGCAGGAGATATGTGCAGAAAATGCCCCCTAGCAGACTGGCATTTCAGGGTACGCCCCAGCCTTATGCGCTTTGCTCTGTTGTAGAATCTAAGCCGGAGACTGGGTTATTATGTGAAGAGAATATATTTTAGCTTAGAACAGGGAAGTTCCAGCAGTTCAACCTAGCACACATGTAGCTTCTCTTCTCGAGCAAAAAACACGAGCACATCAACAAGTGCTGAGACATTGAGCACAGATAAGCAGTTCCTTGAGAAAATTATAGCGGCTTTTGAGAGGAGTCAGACAGCTGCTCAAACTTGATACATTTGCAGAATTTGCTTTTCCTCACGTGGCCTTGCAGCTGGTTAGTTCTTTCATCTTATCAATCAAGCTCAAATCATCTGAACAATTGTCGTATTCATTTTCATGCATCAATAAGACATTTTGCAGTTGAACACATTTTGTGTACAGTATATAAGCAAAAATAAATAACTTCAAACCAAATACGGTTCAGATACCGTTAGGTCACCATGAAATTACATTAAGTAGACTCTGCATATTTAGCTATGTTAATTAACATTGTTTTCTATTTTTCTTACGCAGCTGTTTGAGCTGGGCTCCGCCTGACCGCCACGAAGTTGACTGAAATGTTGATTAATTGATATTCTTTCTTAATGTTTGTATCCCGTTATGTGCGCAATATGCAACGAAGCTGTTTTGCGTACTCTGTTGTTTGTACAGAACACACGTACACTGAACAGAGCTACTGTGACTAATTATCACTTAGGTTTTAATTTCACTTAAGTTTATCGTTCCCCTGCTCACTCTATTTAAGTCTTGATAATTTTCATAGCACAATAGGCAACGGGCAGAGTGGTCTCTGAAGAGCTTGAAAGAACAATACGAAGTAGAGGGGCGCTGTGTTTTTTGTTTTCAGAACGGAACCTATAGTTTGTCGACCAAACAGGATGCAGATGTTAAAATATACAATCCAAAGTCACAATAGCTGTACGCGAAGGCTTCCATTTGCTGGACCAGATGACATTTCACATACACCCTTGGTATATGTAAGCGAATAAATGTAGGCTAAAAAAAAATAAAAATAACAAAATAATAATAAAAAAGGAATGATGATCTTGTTTTTCGTGCTGTTTCACTTTCTTCGTGGGACTGAAGGAACAAAGACTGAGCCAGCCGAGACTATCTGTACCGTCAGTGCCTGCTTCACTTTTTCCCTTACGCCGCTGGCGTTTGAAGACGCACAGAATAACTGCCAGGATAATGGGGGCAATTTAGCAGTAGTAACGGATGGCAACGAAGCTGCGGAGATCCACTCGGCTCTTTCGCGGATTGTCAAAAAGCACCCGGGAAATCATTTCCAGTTTTGGATTGGACTTAAATTACGAAAGGGGAACTGTGCAGTGCTCAAAGACGATTTCAGGGGTTTTAAATGGATTAACGGAATGAAGGATACAAAATACGCAAACTGGGATCGAGAACCTAAATTCACCTGTATCGAAGATCGTTGTGTCGCAATTAATCATACTTCCTATCCATTGGAGACGGCTGATCTCAAATGGAGAGACCGTTCGTGCAAAGACGGTGTTGGTTTTGTGTGTAAATTTAATTTCAAGGGCATGTGTAAGTCTCTTGTTCTGGCAGGACCTGGAGAAATTACATACACAACCCCTTTTGTCACTAGACCACTGAGCGATGGAAATGCGTTGACTATGCTCCCATACGGAACTTCCGCGGCGATTACATGTCAGGGTGAAGAAACATACTCCGTTTGTAAAGACATAAATGGTTTTTTTGGCTGGACAAACCCGGGTCCGTTTTGTGTATCCACTTTACAGAGTTGTAAACATACGAACGGAAGCTGCGATCATCACTGTATGGAAAGCGAACACGGTGAAGTTACCTGTGGATGCAGAGAAGGTTATGAGCTTGGTGAGGATAAAGTGACATGTGTCCAGAAAGATTTGTGCAAGGACTCTCTGTGCAAATTCGGCTGCGTTTCGGGTCATACAAGGTATATATGCACATGTCCATCTGGATTTCAACTAGCCGAGGACGAAATCAGTTGCACTGACATCGACGAGTGCGCCGATGCGGGCGAATCACGTGTCTGTGAACATACCTGCGTGAATATTAATGGCAGTTACGATTGCATTTGTAAAAACGGATATAAGATGGTTGATGGAAAATGTCAAGATATAGATGAATGTATTGAACACAACTGCCCTCAGCAATGTTTAAATTCAGAAGGGTCTTTTTCGTGTTACTGCGTTGTGGGCTATAATAGGTCAAGTAACGGGCTGAGCTGTGTGGATATTGATGAGTGCATTAACAGTCCTTGCGAAGGAAACTGCATTAATACAATTGGTAGTTATAAATGCTTTTGCGAAGGAAATAATAAACTGGCAACCAACGGAATCACCTGCATACCGATTCAAGGCTTGAACACGATTCCCACGAAAATGTCAAAAGAGGCGAAAGAAAGTCAAGATAGTAAGAGGGTGAATTTAAATGTTACAACAGACCATGAGTTATTTAAAGACACACATTCTTTTGGCATGTACGACGAATCTACGACTACTAGATACGAAGTGAAATCCAGTTACACAGCTAATAACAGTTTGTTCTCACCGACGCTGGAAGCACCCTATTCAAACAGAAGTGTACTGGAGAAAAACTCGTTTACTGATACGTGGATGTTTGTGAGCATTATGAGCTCAGTCGCTGGGCTTGTAATATTGATCATTGTCATTTTGATTGTCGTAGCCTCCTTTTATAATCGTGAGAAAAGCAAAAAGAAGAAAAACCTAACCCCAGACAACTACTGCTGGGTGTCATCCGACTGACGAAAACACACAGTAATAAAAAACAAGGTACACAACGGAAATGTCAGCCAGTGATCAGAATGTGTCCTGTTAATTCATGTATAAATAAAAATGATCAAATTGGGTTACAAAGGGAAATTATTCTGACTGAATCATGGCTGAAGTGCTGTTAAATATTTTGTGCATTTTTGTATTATGTCATCACAGTGTCATCTGCATAATAAACCATGTTCTGTATGATCACAATAGGTCTTCTATATCTGGTTCGCTCTAATGTCACTTTTCATATCGGTAATATCGATGTCCATCGAAAAACATAAAGTTAACACTTCTGTAAGGACACAGCTTTTTATTTTGAGCGTATTATAATATAGCTAATTACAGGCCTAATTATTTTCAAATGATGATTACTAATCTGTAAATGTTAGTTTATTTAAAATGTTATTTTAATTAAAGACCAAATCCCACTATACAAGCATGGGTAACAAGCCAGTCTAGCCTGCACAGCAGCTTATATTCTTCCTTCAAATGGTTATTACGGCAAGTACGCAAATTTACGCAAAAAACCGTCTTCCTGGTCTGGTATGGAAATTGTATTTTAATAATTATTGTTATTTTTATTTGAATTTTTTTGGGGTGCACCCTGTCGCAGTGGTTACTGAACTGATCCAACTAATTGTTTTTTAAGTCCTCATGGCTTTTTAATAAAAGCAAAAGGAGGGATCGTAAGCTACGAGATTTATCACAAGGAAGGGGGTGAAGAAAATGCCCCACATTATTGAAATTAATTGGTGTATATTGAAGCCCCCCTAAACAGCCCTAGCGCCGCCCCTGGGGAAACCTATACTACCCTAAGTACTTGGTCTGTACTGCATTTTAGTAATTAAAACTGTCCTATAGTAATTCGTGTCCGTCCAGTGCTCTTCTGCTCAGGCAGTTAAGTACAGACGGATCAAAGAAAAAACGTCAAAATTCCTACACGAAACATTTCCTTCCTTTCACCAATTATATAAACACGAACGGGACATTTAAAGGTTGGTTGAACTGAATGACTGAATGAAGAATTATTCTCTCTGTATGCGAACCGCGTGAAGCATTAATTATGGCCGTATTTCGAACATTTGTTGCTTTTGTTTTCCTTTTGTACATAGACGGGAAAATAGCCCAGTCCACCTCATGTGTTGGAAATAGATGCTATAGATTATTTAAAGAGAAATTAAATTTTGTGATGTCGCTGAATGCATGCAAAAACGATAAAGGAAACTTAATGTCATTTCAATCTACTTCGGCCAATGAAGCACTACGGGATCTACTGCTCGGAGCTACAGGGGACTTCTGGATTGGTTTGCGGCTACCAGACAAGAAATGCAGCAACATTTCGTCTACACTGCGTGGATACGAATGGACAACAAGAGATACAAGCACACAATTCACCAACTGGAAGGACAACATCTCAGTCTACTCCCCACGTTGCGTCTCCGTCTCCAGCGATCTGAAATGGACTGAGAGACCCTGTCAGGATAAAGCGAGTGGATTCATATGCGAGAACATCTACGTCATATGTGCATCTGTACTCCATCCGAGTACCGAAATCTCGCCTACTTGCGTTGTGGAAAATGCTGACTGCGGGCACCAGAACAAATCTCCAAAACTCCAATCATCATGCATCTGTCAAAATCCCACGATCAAAAAGACGTCTTTTCTGTGCCAATGCAAAGATGGTTATAAAATGATTGCTGGTAAGTGTAAGGACATCGACGAATGCCTTAAATCTCCATGCCAACATATATGTTCAAATACACCAGGCAGCTATACCTGCAAGTGTCGAGATGGGTTTGTTCCTAAGAAGAATGACCGAACGAAGTGTGAACAACATTGTGATAAAAATGCATGCCCCGCTGTTTGCAAACATAAGGCAGGCAAGCTACCAGAATGTACCTGCCCGGCGGGATACATACTTGAGCCTTCGGAGGAACAGTTATGCTTATTTTTTAACGATGCAGACAGCGCCTTGGATAACAGGTCGACTCCCTTTTTCACTCAGGATATCAGAAGCAGTTCACCTTTCCTAACGCTTAAACCAAACTTCCTGACACTTCCTTTGTTCTCCGTAGTAGCTATTGTTTTTTTTCTAACAACATAATTCGTAGAATATTCGTGTTGGATTGGTTTATACCTTTGTTAAGAACGTTTGAATATAGAACCCTTTATTATTTGGCTTGTTATTGCCTACATCGATTAGGATGTATATGTTGATATCTTCCAGTATATCGAGATGTTCTCATTACAATCAAATCGCCTATAATCACGGGCAATTATTGACTTCTGCAGAATGATAAGTGGCCCTCAACGTTGGACTTCTGCATAAATACTTTTTATTATAGGGCTTAATAATCTTACATTGACAGCTTTATGCTTGTGATGCATCATTTGACTCACCTGAATGCTGCTATAGTCTGCTAAAATAAATGTAACTGTAATCCTAATCTTAGTTTACTGTAATGTCTGTGGTTGCCTAGATCTTTAAATTTTTGATTGAGCTGTTGAGCAAACGGATGGCCTGATTATTTTAAACCCAATGCATAGCGCATAAGGTAGGGGACATCCTGGATGGGATCCCTGTCCCTGTCCCCCCCCCCCCACAACTATATTTCAACTATAACAACTGTAACCCAACCCAGCCCTAACCTTAACCACAAGTAAACAAACAAAATTCAAGACTTTTCACATTGTTAGTTTTTTGATTACATATGTGAAGTTACAATGCTGTTTACTGAGCCACCGCCCTACACCATCAGTCATTCTACATGCAAATAATTTAGTTGTTTTCAAAATGAACCATTAAAAAAAATCTCATTAATACCCGAGCTCAATTTTAAGATATTAATCTGTAGAATCATCAGAAGTGAGTAATGAGTCAAGTGGCTGACTCACTTCCCAAATGACTCTGCTGGCTTTGCCAGAATAATCACATCTGAGGTGGCTCCCCTTCACTGCCAAGCTTAATGTCAACTACATACGTGTCAGTGTGTCATGGACAGCAAGATGGAGTTGGCGAAAAGAGAATTTCCCCATGGGGATCAATAAAAGTGTCATTATTATGATTATTATTATTATTGTACTAGAAAACTTATACTGTAATGAGCTGATGTGACTCAGACTGCCCCAACCCTGAATTTCCACCCCAAAGCACAAATTAACAGGAACAAGGTAAGTGGTCATATATCAGATTTCACGTTCCTCTCACTTTGGTGCTAGACCAAGATGCCTCCAGAAATGACAATCGTTCTTATCCACCAATATTTCCATCATTTATGCAGTATAGGGTTACAGACATTCTAGAAGAGTGGTTGTCAACCTTTTTTGCACCGCGACAGATTTTTACCATGCAAGCTCAGTCACAACTCTGTATCAAGTATAGGTTTAAATTAACGCTATGATCAGTGCAGTGCACTCTGCAGCTTACGCCAATCAATGCCTGTTGCACAAATCTGATTGGATGTGCCAGTGAATTTTAAATTTAGCATCTGCGGTTTGGCTTCTTGGATTGGTTGAGTGTTCACTAGTTTCGCGTTAAGCATTTGCAGACCCGAGACCCGTTCATATAAATTAACTCTAGGATCGGGGCTGGGAAATCTGATCGTGGATCAGCCTAGGAGCTTGCTGGTTTAAAAATACTTACATTTCCAATTCTGCCGCGTGACCCTTTCAGAAATTGCTGGGTCGTGACACATGGGTTGAGAATCGCTGTTCTATAATATATCCCAGGAAGAACAGGGCAGCGGACATCCTGGAAGGTTGCTTGACCATCACAAAGCACAAACACCAATTTACCCACCTGCATGTTTTTACACTTTGGGGAGAAACTGGAGGGCACCCATTCAGCTCGAGAAAAAAAAAATGCAAACTACAGGCACAGAGCTGTAGTTGGGGGTTTGGTAGGTAGGACTCCACCCTGGAGATATGAGGTATCTGTGTTACCATCTGCACCACACTTAAACTAAATTATTAAATGTTTAACCATGGTTAGAATATAACTGAACAGATAGGCTACATCACAACTATCTTAAATTTAAACAAAATTAAACGATTTACCATGGCTAGAATATAATTGAACAGATACAGACATAAGCTTTTCCAAACTTAAACTAAATTTAAAACAAATTGTCCACCATGGCTGGAGTATAAATGAACAGATATGATGCAAATGAGTATTACAACCATCTGCTCGTCCATCCAGCTGCTTATCTCGAGCAGGGTTGCTAATATATATGACGATTACAGCCAAGTTTACTTCATTATATTGATATTTTTGTCTTGCTTCACCAGAGAATATGCGTAAAAACGCCACTCAGCTTCAGTAACAGGAAATGGTCAGATGATGCCCAGGATACTCCCTTTCCTTCCTGTGCCCTCGACGCCTTTAACAGGCTACTTCCCTGTATGGTTCAAGGAGATAAAATGCATTCTTTGTGATCGTTAAATGTGAATTACGAATAACAGCATAATTTAAATTTATTTTCAACGATAAAACATACTATTTTTTTCTGTGCCACAGACCATAATAACGGAGTATAAAATATATACAGCGAATGCAGTAATTTACACTAATTAAAATATACAAAATCAACATAAAAACTGAAACAGATGCAAAAGTTAATTAAANTGTCAACTACATACGTGTCAGTGTGTCATGGACAGCAAGATGGAGTTGGCGAAAAGAGAATTTCCCCATGGGGATCAATAAAAGTGTCGTTATGATTATTATTATTATTATTATTATTATTATTGTACTAGAAAACTTATACTGTAATGAGTTGATGTGACTCAGACTGCCCCAACCCTGAATTTCCACCCCAAAGCACAAATTAACAGGAACAAGGTAAGTGGTCATATATCAGATTTCACGTTCCTCTCACTTTGGTGCTAGACCAAGATGCCCCCAGAAATGACAATCGTTCTTATCCACCAATATTTCCATCATTTATGCAGTATAGGGTTATAGACATTCTAGAAGTAGTGGTTCTCAACCTTCTTTGCACTGCGACCGATTTTTACCATGCCAGCTCAGACACAACTCTGTATCAAGTATAGGTTTAAATTAACGCTATGATCAGTGCAGTGCACTGCAGCTTACACCAATCAACGCCTGTTGCACAAATCTGATTGGATGTGCCAGTGAATTTTAAATTTAGCATCTGCGGTTTGGCTTCTTGGATTGGTTGAGTGTTCACTAAATTCGTGTTAAGCATTTGCAGACCCGAGACCCGTTTATATAAGTTAACTCTAGGATCGGGGCTGGGAAATCTGATCGTGGATCAGCCTAGGAGCTTGCTGGTTTAAAAATACTTACATTTCAAATTCTGCCACGTGCCCCTTTCAGAAATTGCTGGGTCGCGACACATGGGTGTTGAGAATCGCTGTTCTATAATATATCTCTGGAAGAACAGGGCAGCGGACATCCTGGAAGGTTGCTTGACCATCACAAAGCACAAAAAAAAAAATGCAAACTACAGGCACAGAGCTGTAGTTGGGGGTTTGGTAGGTAGGACTCCACCCTGGAGATATGAGGTATCTGTGTTACCATCTGCACCACACTTAAACTAAATTATTAAATGTTTAACCATGGTTAGAATATAACTGAACAGATACATCACAACTATTCAAAACTTAAATTTAAACAAAATTAAACGATTTACCATGGCTAGAATATAATTGAATAGATACAACATAAACAGCTTTTCCAAACTTAAACTAAACTTAAAAGAAATTGTCTACCATGGCTGGAGTATAAATGAACAGATATGATGCAAATGACTATTACAATTAACCATCTGCTCATCCATCCAGCTGCTTATCTCGAGCAGGGTTGCTAATATATGACGATTACAGCCAAGTTTAGTTCACTATATTGCTATAATATATTTTTGTCTTGCTTCACCAGCGAATATGCGTAAAAAATGCCACTCAGCTTCAGTAACAGGAAGCGGTCAGGTGATGGCCAGGATACTCCCTTTCCTTCCTGTGTCCTCGAAGCCTTTAACAGGCTACTTCACTGGATAGTTTAAGGAGATAAAATGCATTCTTTGTGACCGTTAAATGTGAATAACGAGTAACAGCATAATTTAAATTTATTTTCAACGATTAGACATACTTTTTTTTCTGTGCCGCAGACCATAATAACGGAATATAAAATATATACAGCGAATGCAGTAATTTATACTAATTAAAATATACAGAATCAACATAAAAACTGAAACAGATACAACAGTCAATTAAAAATCTGTCTCGTATATGCCACTGATGTTTTACTTTTTCGATACTTTTCAATCTTGTGAGAAACGCAGGTCATCGGGATAAACCAAATTTTACCGGTCACTTTAGTTGCACTATTTACGTCACTCGGGAGATAACGACTAGTACAATTATTGCCCACCGTAGTATAATCACTTCTCTACCATCACCATTATTGTAAAACAATAAAAAATACAAACTGGTCAGTTTGCCACAGGTACTTACTGCTGAAGGTATCCGGGCTAATTAAATCGTGGCTGTAATTAGCAATGTGGTGCTATCTATTTGTTAGTTTGTTTAGATAAATTGATTTATCACGATTTCAAAATGTACAACTGTTTATGCAAAAGGAATAATGTGCAAATACAGAATAATCAAGTCCAGCGTTACAAAAGCTTCACACACAGGCTTGTCTTCCAGCTGGCTTTACCTCGTTCACGCTGTACTACAGCGACACCTATTGTTCTGCTCCGGTACTCTCCTCCAAGCATTCGCAACGAAATTTGTGTGTCAAGCCCCTACAACAGGGGTTCTCAAAGTCTACATTCAAAGGTCCAAATCTGAATTTTCATCAATGACAAAGGTCCGGAACTATTGGTAATTACAAAACTTGTTTTTAATAAACATGTATAACAAATCAACATTCATTTTATGAAAAAATAAGGTGCCTTTTGCATTCAAAATACATGAATAACAAGTGCAAAAGTGGCAAAATAATGCCGTTTGAC